TTGATAATTTATATTTGACCGCGTCGCAAGTATGATCCGCGAGCGGGGTTATCAAATGAAACTAAGTCGAGGATTTTAAAGATTTAAAAGTTTCAAGTTGAATGGTCTTTATTTTGAAAAGAATCAAGAAAGAGTTATGATTTACTGATAATTTATATTTGATCGCGTCGCATGTATGATCCGCGAGCGGGGTAATAGATGCATCGATGGTTAGCGCCGTTCGACCCTCGGCAATGCACATTTTACATTTATGTTGGATCGGGCCGAACGTCCTCGGTTGTATTCGTGTGTGATAATAGAACTGGAAGTTCCTTTTATAATTGGTATAAATTCATTATTTGAAAGATTATTTATTTTAAATGAAGGAAGTGATTTGGGTCCTCAAATAGGGTGATGAATCGCTCAGTTATTTCTTGTTCTGAGTTTTATTGTTATATATATCATGCTTAATTAGAATTTCATATTATCATATTGTTGGCCCTTAGTAAGTGTCAAAGTCGACCCTTCGTCACTACTTCTTCAGGGTTAGGCGGGATACTTACTGGATACGCATTGATTTACGTACTCATGCTACACTTGCTGCACGTTTTTGTGCAGGTGCATATATGTCTAGTGGCCTCATAGGTGCAGATGCGCGATTATTGGGGGGACTTAGGTGAGCTGCATTCCACACTACGAGTCCGCAGCCAGCAGAGTCTCCTTCAGAATATCTATATTTTCCTGTCCAATTTATATTCCGGACAGATGTTATATTTTATTTATATTCCTAGTTGATGCTCATGCATTTGTGACACCGGATTTTGGGCGATTATGGGTTGCACTGCGTTGGAATTTTTTTTAAAATATATTATTATTTATTTTGTAAACTCCATCTTTTACTATTTAATTGAAGGAAATATGATTTCAGAAATGTTAAAAATGAGAACCAAATAAGTATTTATTTTTGGCTTGTCTGACCGCGGTGTCTGACGCCATCACGGCCTTTAATGAATTTTGGCTCGTGACAATAACCACCAAATTGAATATCAGAAAAATCCTATACTACTTCTATGAAACTCATAATGGTGAATAAAGTTCCTGAAACGTATTTCTCTAAATGTTTATCTCAAACTGTCAAATATGTTTCATGGAAGAAAAATTATGGCTTAGAAATAGTGATGAAAAAAGGTTCATCGAGTCTTGGTAACATCTTTATATTTTTGACTTCCTCTGAATTAGAATCAAAGTAAATGGAGAAGTATTCACCAATCCTATAAATTGCACCATTGCAAAATATTTCTCTGGCATAGCCCATAAAAGGGATACAAAGGAACAACAACAGAATCTCCATAACACATTCCTTGTCAAACAGTCCACCCAAACAGAATTCAACTTTCAATGGCAATAAAATTACAGCAAAAAAGAAGGTACACTAACTTCCACAATTAATTCAATCATGGATATAGTGGTAATTCAAAAGGTAAATTTTATTCAATATATATAAATAAGTCGTTAAATTTTCATACCAGTATACTATCCCTTCATTATTTCCTCTTAAGTTATATACTATTTTCAACATCCTCTAAAAGTCAAGTTGATGATTTTTCTTCTCTGGTTGCCTCCAATAGGTATTTTCCTATCCATTTTGAGAACACTTTTAGCATGTACGCTCGCACACTGCATAATAAGCTTATTGTTGGAGAAATGTAGAACATGACTGAAGGCAACAGAGAGGCGTTCGACTTATTTGGTTGGTACCTTCTAATCACATTATATGTTATTGGCTGATAAAAGTACACAACCTAAAGAGAATTATCAGTAAACAGTTTTTGGTACAACAAAAAAATTCATGATATTTAGGACTCTACAACATATGTATCAATCTGACAAACTATGTTCAATTAGCTTAATTTTATCGCAAAAAGACTTAGACGTATGTGCTATTAATTTGTAATAGACGTGCATAGAACAACTATTAACTTTAAAGAACGCTTGAATTAATATAACACAAAATAGTTCACTCACTTGTATGGACTCCACTAATTCACCAATTGTTTAACTTGAACAACACCCTTAGCTAACTCATCAAAGACAGGGAACTTTGTTAAGAGATAGTTTGACTCAATCTCTCAGAGGAACTACCCATGAAAACGCACATAGAAATTAAAAAATATATGAAGAGCAGAGCAAAAAATCCAGATTTGCAAATTAAAAAACAGAAAGCAAAATGTGATACATGTTGTAGTATATTAGTGAGAAACATATTTGAGAATACGTACGTTTGGTGTACAAATGCTTCAATCGGGTTTTTGCTACTGATTATCCCATAAATATGCATATAGAAATTTAAAAATATACAAAGAGCATAACAAAAAAATCCAGATTTGCAAATTAAAAAATAGACAAGCAAAACGTGATACATGCTGTAGTCTATCACTAAGAAACATATGTGAGGATACATATGTGTGGTGCACAAATACTTCAATCAGATTTTTTGCTATGAATACGCACATATGCAAATTAAAAAATAACGTTAGCAAAACGAATTATAAGAGAATAACAGATTTTTAATACCTTTTCATCTTGTAGTACCAATTCAATCGAGAAAATAACGTCTAAATTGTAACGATCTGTACTTGATTAAATCACTGCATTTTCAACTTCCATTGCATTTTCGAAATTGTTATATATGATTAAATAACTACGAGTAGCCATATATTGCAGAAACCGTATATTTTCTTGAATTTTTGATAGTAGGAAGATTTGAATTTAAGAACCGACTAGGAGAAATAGAAGTTGGCCGACAGTTTGTAGCAGTTTTCGTGAGTTTCAGTCGTGCGTATGTTTCGTGAGTTTCAATTTAGAGCGACTGTTATCTTTGCATAGGAAATTTAGGGAAAGTGGGTTCTAATTGTGCCATTTTTAATTTTTAAATAATAACCCAAATTAGTTTCTTTTTGAATTAAATAAAACTCTTTTCTTTAAAAATACTCACGGTCTTCATGGTTCAAAAGTGATCAATTAATTTTTTAAAATGTATGTTTTAAAATCAGTTAATTTAAAAAAAAATCTTTAATTTTGAATTAAATAAAACCCTTTTAAAAAGAAAAGTACGGTCTTTATGGTTCAATGCTAAAGAGTAAAAAAACGTATGTTTAAAGGTGACTCCATTAATAATAATTGTTCGATGGGAAAGAGCTCTGAAGGCGCACGTTAAGCATGGAGAGCTAACGTAAGCACAAAGACGATGGCCCGACGGAAATCAAAAATAATTGCGCCGCCTACAATACCGGAAACGGACGAAGGAGGTAGAATGGTAACACCGAAATCAGGAGTACCACAAATGATAGGTCAGATGCAACTGGTCCACTGGATGACTGGGATGGGAAGCGCACCAACAATCATGCAAACTTCGAAATGTGTTGAAGAAGAGAATCCCAAACCATCAGAGGTAGATGTCAATACTGCAACGATGAAGCTGACTTTCTCAGTGCAACGAGCAAACCCTAGTCGACCAGAATCGACTTTAGATGATGTGGTTAAAGGAAATCGAGCTCAACAACAGGGGCTGAAATTGGAATACTATCCACCAACAATGAAGGAAGGAGTGAAGATTGTGCAATTGAATCAGGCTGAAGTAGCAGAGCAAACCCAGAAATGGAAAGAAGCGCTAATTGGGTATGTGTTGGGTGAAACTCCCTCTTTCAAAGAAATGCTAAAATTTATGAATGGGGTGTGGAATTTTATCACTGCACCACAGGTGTTCCTACACGATGATGGGTACTTTATATTCAGATTTAGATCTGAAGAAGATAAGAACAAACTTATACAACAAGGCCCATATACATACCATAATAGACCCATGATACTGAAGCACTAGGAGCCTAATTTTCAGATGAGTAAAGAACTGACTCGAAATGTACCAATATGGGTCATATTCCCAGGATTACCAATCCAATACTGGACAAAGGAGAATTTGGGGCGCATAGCCAGCTACTTAGGAAAACCTATATGTTCAGATAAACTCACAATAGAGGGGGATATGATTTCTTATGCGTGTATGCTGGTGGAAATGGATGTATCACAGGATCTACTAGAAAGAAGAAGATGGCAAGTATAGAGAACAAGCACTGGACTATGAATGGAACCCTTTTTTTTTAGGAGTGTTTTCAAATAGGGCAGCATGATGAGAAATGTGGGAAGGCTTTACCAATGAGGCAGCAAAAGCAAACCAATGCCAGCAATGGCAACATAGAGAAAACTGGTAAACAGCAACATAGGCAAGGGAAAGAGGTTAAGCAACAGAATAGAAAACAATGGAGGGTGAAACCTGTTGTTGAGCAACCACAAGTGCAGAAGGAGCAGATTCCTGAACAACTACAAGAACAACAGGTTAGTCAAGTTAACGCAGAGCCAACTACTGAGTAAGATATGAAAACGCAACAAGTTCAGAAATTTAGAGGCAAGCAAAAGATGAAAGCTCAAGGACCTACACAACAAAAAGGAGCCTTAACTGATACTGATTTAGAGAATATGTTGAAGAGAAACAGATATAGTCCATTGAGAATATAAGATGATAGCAACACTGGAAAGGTGACTGGAGGGATTGGCCTTAATGAGGAGAATCCACCATGATAATACGCTCTTGGAATATAAGAGGGTTGAACAAGCCCTATAAGCAGAAATAACTCAAGGCCTTTCTGCTAAAATATAAAATAACTTTACTAGGCTACCTTGAGACAAAAATAAAGTCTAGAAGTGTTAGTAAAGTTAAAAGAAAGTTTTGCAAAGACTAGAAAGTGCATTCAGATGAAGTTATAAGTAACAATGGGAGAATCTGGCTCTTTTGGAAGGAAAATTTGGTGCAGGTCCATATACTGTTAGCAACTCCTCAATTGCTACACTGCCAAGTGAAGGATAATGGATCAAATTTTTCATGTTGCATAACATTTGTATATGAAAAGAACAAAATAAATGAAAGAATGGACATATGAGAGCAGCTAAGACAAATACATAGTAATATGCACGAGGCTTGGCTAGTTATAGGTGATTTCAATAATGTTTTGTCTGTTAATGATCGACTCAATGGGAAACCTGTGCAACAAGCTAAACTTGTGGATTTTCAAGAATGCATAAGATATATTGGACTAGGGCAATTGAATAGGAAAGGGTGTCAATGGTCATGGTATAATAAAAGGGATGCAGAGAGTAGAATATACAACAATATTGACTGGGCATTTGGGAATGCTTCTTGGCTTACTCATTATAGTAGCCTAGAGGCAGTTTTTGAATTGCCAGGAGTTTCTGACCATTCCCCTATTATTATTAACACTAATATAGCCAAAAATCACCTGCCAAAGCCATTTAGACTATATAATGTGATGTTGAATCATAAGGAGCTTGAAGGGGCTGTTCATGAGGTGTGGAATCAACAAGTACATGGACATACTATGCACTCAATCTGGCTGAAGTTACAGAGGTTGAAAGATAAGACAAAACATATGAATAAGGAAATGTCTTCACTGGACAAAAAGATTGGCCAACTCAGGGAGCAACTGCAGAATACTCAAGGAGAGCTTGATGAAGATCCATTCAACATTCAGCTAATAACCAATGAAAAGGAGTTGCTACTGTAGATTGAAAAATGGGAAGGGGTAGATGAACATGTTCTGAGATAAAGATCCAGAGCAATGTGGATAAAGGCAGGTGACCAGAACTCTAAATTTTTTTCATGCTCATTTGAAGGCCAGACAATTGAGGAACAGAATTGAATCCATATCTAATGACCAAGGAATTAGAGTGACTGATCCTATATTGGTAGAACAAGAGATTAGAGGATTTTTTCAAACACTCTTGGGCACTTCAGCTATTGAACTCCCTTGTATTGATATTGAGATAGCTAGAAATGGTCATTGTCTTACCAAGGAATAACAACAACTTCTCAATGCACAAGTAACATAGGAGGACATTGATCAAGCTCTTAAAGACTTGCCAAATGACAAAGCTCCAGGGATATATGGATTTCCAGCTGAATTTTTAAATATACTGGAAGGTTATTGGAGAAGAGGTTAAACGAGCTATTCAAGAGTTTTTCACCAATGGGAAACTACTGAAAAATGTCAACTGTACCACAATAACATTGGTACCTAAAGTTGCAAGCCCAACATCTGTCAAGGAATACAGACCTATAGCATGCTGCTCCACTTTGTACAAACTCATCTCAAAGATCATTATAGTAAAATTGAAGATGATGGTGGATTCTATTTGATAACAACACGATAGGGGTCCAAGAATTACTAAAGAAAATCAAGAAACGTGCGGAAGCT